AATCCACCTCCATGTCAAATCTAATGACCTCAGTCCCTATCCTTTTTTTTAAAAATATATTTTATTGATTTTTTACAGAGAGGAAGGGAGAGAGATAGAGAGTTAGAAACATCGATGAGAGAGAAACATCGACCAGTTGCCTCCTGCACATCTCCCACTGGAGATGTGCCCGCAACCTAGGTACATGCCCTTGACTGGAATCGAACCTGGGACCCTTCAGTCCGCAGGCCTACGCTCTATCCACTGAGCCAAACCGGTTTCGGCAATCCCTATCCTTTTTGATCTCTATAAAATCTGACAAAGTTGACTGCTGCGCTTATAACTATCTTTTTTCTCAATTTCTACTCAACCATTTTTCCTTTTCTCTGCTTCCTTGATGGAGTCTGTCATCTTTTAAATGGCAGTATTTTCTATCCTCTGACCTTATCATCTGTACTCTTTCCCAGAGATGTCTCAATCTACTCCTGTTTCTGGCTTCACCATGTACTGGAAACTCCTAAGTCTCTCCAGCTGAAGTCATATTTCCAGCTGCCCACTACACATATATATATTGGAGTTGCATTCTCAACAAGTTTAAAAATGAAAAATTTTAAGTTTTAATTAAAATCTTTGTTAATTAAATTTGTCAGGGTGATATTGGTTAATAAAAGTATATAAGTTTCAAGTGTACAATTCTATGGCACATCATCTTTATGTTGCATTTTGTGCCCACCACCCAAAGTCAAATATTCTTCCGTTACCACATATTTGACTCCCTTTACCATTTCCTGTTCCCCCAGCCTCCTTCCCTTTGGTAACCACCATGGTGTGGTCTGTGTCTATGAGTTTCTATTTGTGTTTCTTGTTTGTTCATTAGTTGCAAAAAGTTAATTTTTAAATCTTTCTTCTCTAGTTTTCAGATAACAGCATTACCAACAGCTCCACTATCCAGAGAGTATGCTGACTCTCTCTGTGCAGTAGCTCTTAAATTTATTTCTTCTGTCCCCCAGTACCCATGCTGATTAGAAGTATATCCAGAACATCAGTCTCCTTTTCCTTAGCTCATCTCTTGCACAACTTTCATTCACACCACTATTGCCCTAATGAATGTGGTGGCTCATTGTGGTTTTGCTTTGCATTTCTCTAATCATTAGTGACGCTAAACATCTTTCCAAGTCTTTGAAATGTCTTTTCAAGTCCTTTGCTCATTTTTAAATTGGGCTGTTCGGGGGGTCTTTTTTTGGTTAGGATGTAGGAGTGTTTTATATATTCTGGCTATTAATCCCTTATCAAATATATGTTTTACAGATATTTTTTTCTGTGATTGTCTTTTCACTTTCTTGGTAGTGTCCTTTGATGCACAAAAGTTTTAAAATTTAAAAAAATTGATGTATAATTGATATACAATATTCTATTAGTTTTAGGTGTATTATCATAGTGATTTCATATTTATATACATTAAGAAATGATTCACACAGTAAGTCTAGTAACCATCTGTTACCAAACAAAGTTATTACAATATTATCTACTATATTCTTTATCTGGTACATTATATCCCCATGAGTTATTTATTTTATAACGGGAAGTTTGTACCTCTTAATCCCCTTCACCCTATTTCACCTACACCCCCCAACCTCTCCCCATGCTGATAATCACCAGTTTGTTTCCTGTATTGGTGAGTCTGTTTCTGTTTTATTTGTTCATTTGTTTTATTTATCATTTTTTAATTTTGATGAAGTCCAGTTTATCTATTTTTTCATTTGTTCCTGTGCTTTTGGTGTCATATCCTAGAAATCATTGCCAAATCCAACATTATGAAGGTTTTATTCTAAGAGTTTTAATAATTTTATTCATATATTGGCCATTATCTATTTTTAGTTAATTGTTGCATATGGTGTAGGGTAAGGGTCCAACTTCATTCTTTTGCATGTAGGTATCCAATCTTGTTAGCACAATTTGTTGAAAAACCTGCCCATTCCTCCTGACTTGTCTTAAAACACTTGTTGAAAACCAGTTGACCACACATGCACGGGTGTATTTCTGGGCTCTCTATTCTTTTCCATTGGTGTATATACCTCTCCTTCTACTGGCACCACATTGTTTAGATCACTATAGCTTTGAAGTAAGTTTTGAAACCAAGAACTGTGTGTTCTCCACCTTCATTTTTCTTTTTCAATATTATTTTGGCTACTTGGGGTCCCTTGATATTCCATATGAATTTTAGGATAGGTTTTTCTACTTCTACAAAACACATCATTGGGATTTTTATAGGGATTGCTTTGAATCTACAGATCATTTTGACTAGTACTGTCATCCTAACAGTAGTAAGTCTTCCAATCCATGAACATGGGATGTCTTTCCATTTATGTATGTACTCTTTCATTTCTTTCAGCAATATTTTGTAATTTTAAGTGTATACAACTTGCTTTTTAATTTTATGGTCTGAATAAATTGAAGTAAATAACATACATTAAGTTTGGAAAAGGAAAGAAACATCATTATTTCAAATTAGCTTAAAGTAGTGATTAAAAAAACAAAATAGAACAGAACTAGGACTTTAAACATTTTCACAAATTTTTTAGAGTTTGCCTAGCCTACTTTTGAGAGCACTAAATATCTCCTATTTCCCTGAGATATATTCTAGAAAATACAATTGCAGAGTCAAATACAATTCAACCTTTTATTTATTTATTTATTTTTAGAAATGGTTATACCTGAGAGGTTTTTTAAAAATTATTTTTATTGATTTTAGAGAGGAGAGGAAGAGAGAGATTGGCTGCCTTCTGCACACCCCCTACTGGGGATTGAGCCCACAACCCAGAATTCAACCAGCAACCTCAGGGTGCATGGGACAATGCTCAACCAATTGAGCCACACAGCCAGGGCAATACCATGCAACTTTTATAGGCTATTGGAATATACTACCAAAGTACTCATCTATTTATACTTTCCACAATGAATAGGAGAACCTTTATTCCTCCGACTCCTCTCTGTACTGAGCATTATCATCAAACTAGAGGCTTGCTGCACAAAATTCATGCACTCAGGGGGTCTTTCAGCCCGGCCTGCGCCCTCTCACAGTCCAGGAGCCCTCAGGGGATGTCCAATTTATGGCTTAGGCCCGCTCCTCGTGGGGAGCGGGCCTAAGCTGGCAGTTGGACATCCTTAGCGCTACCACGGAGGTGGGAGAGGCTCCCACCACCACTGCTGTGCTCGCCAGCCATGAGCCCAGCTTCTGGCTACTGCACTGACCACCAGGAGGCAGCTCCTGCATTGAGCGTCTTCCCCCTGGTGGTCAGTGCACATCATAGCGACCAAGTGTTCAGCTGTTCGATGTGCATGTTAGCCTTTTATTATATAGGATGTGCACGCGCGCGCACACACACACACATACATAAAATTTTCCCATTTGAACAGTAAAAAGGAATTTCAGCATTTGTAAACAACCATGTAAAAAGTAAAAGTCCTTCTTTCCCAATCCAATGACAGGTATAACAACTGTAAAATGCTTGGATTTTAATTGTTGACTTTTGTCCTACAGAACATCATTTGGTTGGTTTGGGGTCTTGCTTGCTTTTTGGTATGTTTTTCAAAGACTGTCAAGGTACATTGTTTTGTTTGTTTGTTTGTTTGTTTTAATATATTTTATTGATTTTTTACAGAGAGGAAGGGAGAGGGATAGAGAGTTAGAAACATCGACGAGAGAGAAGCATCGATCAGCTGCCTCCTTCACACCCCCCACTGGGGATGTGCCTGCAACCAAGGTACATGCCCTTGACTGGAATCGAACCTGGGACCCTTCAGTCCCTAGGCCGACGCTATATCCCAGCCGTGGGCAAACTACGGCCCGTGGGCCGGATCCGGCCCGTTTGAAATGAATAAAACTAAAAAAAAAAAAAAAACCGTACCCTTTTATGTAATGATGTTTACTTTGAATTTATATTAGTTCACACAAACACTCCATCCATGCTTTTGTTCCGGCCCTCCGGTCCAGTTTAAGAACCCATTGTGGCCCTTGAGTCAAAAAGTTCACCCACCCCTGCTCTATCCAGTGAGCCAAACCGGCTAGGGCAAGGTACATTGTTTTTATATTTAGTGTCGTGCTTTATAAAGTCCTTCCTCATGTCAGTACTGTATTATGTATTCACCTATATGTTCTTTCTGACTTAATTTTTATAATTCTCACACTAATATCTAAATGTTTCCTAAAAATTTCAAGAATTTACACAAGTAGAGGGAATAGTTTAGTGAACTTCCACATACTAATAGCCCAGCTTCATTATCAATTCATGCCGGATCTTGTTTCATCTTTTTTGTTTGTTTCATCTTTATCCTCATCAACTCCCCCTCCAATTATTTTGGAGCAAATCTCAGACATACCACTTTATGTATCTCTAAAAGATAGGAAGTTTTATTTAAAATATTTGTGTCTAAATCTATTTAATACATTTTGAGTTTATTTTATTGTTTTGTGTTTTCCAGAGAATTAATTCACTTTTCAAACTAGTTAATTAGCTAGTTTTCCCAATATCATTTACTAATTCATGCTCTGTCCATTGGTAAGAAGTGCTGCTGCCTTAGTCATATAAATTCTCTGAGTCCTAGCCGATTTGGCTCAGTGAATAGAGCGTCGGCCTACAGACTGAAGGGTCCCAGGTTCAATTCCGGTCAGGGGCACATGCCCAGGTTGCAGGCTCGATCCCCAGTGGAGGGTGTGCAGGAGGCAGCCAATCAATGATTCCCTCTCATCGTTGATGTTTCTATCTCTCCCTTCCTCTCTGAAAGCAATAAAAAATATATTTTTAAAAAATTCTCTGAATCTGATTTTGGACTTTCTGTTCCACAGATCTTTTTCTCTTTTCCTACATATTGATATTTAGGTTTTTATTTGATGTGACTTTATGTCACATAAAAGTGGGATAAAAATTTTTTGTTATTAACATGAGAAAAAAACTAGTGGGAGATTAAGAATATTTACTCAAATAAACGTGTTTATAATAAGAACATTTACTTTCTTTCAGAGATCCTGTAGTGTGGAGAGCTGTGCTTGGAACTAATAATATAGATGGGAGACGTCCACACACCAAGATTATAAAGGTTAAAGCAATCATTGTCCATCCAAACTTCAATTTGGAAACTTACGTAAATGACATTGCGCTTTTTCATTTAAAAAAAGCAGTGAGGTATAATAACTACATTCAGCCTATTTGTCTACCTTTTGATGTTTTCCAAAAGCTGGATGAAAAGACAGAGTGTTTCATAGGAGGCTGGGGAAGGACAACAGAAGAAGGTAATTATAGTCTGAACTTTCTTGATACAGTTGTTGTTTTTTTCTGGTTATTGGAGAGGGTGAACCCTTTTATATATTTCTTTATCTCTCTGTATTATGAGTCTTTACAAACCAGTGAAAGGGAAAGGTCGTCTTTCTTGTCTGTATTTTTTTTTCTTCCTTGTGGGAGAGAGAAAATTATCTTCCAAAGCAGAAGTAAAGACTTTCTCTGGTTATACATGCCAAGATACCTGAACCTCTGGACATCCTCAGAGAGGATGGCGATCTAAGTGTTTCTGTCCTTGTTGAGACGCATAGGTGATAGAGCCAGCTACGTGACAGCATGGCTTGTCTTTAATAAGCTTCTGGCCGTAAGGAATCAATGTGTGTCCTTTTAAATGTAATGCTCTGTTAGTATCAAACAAGCTGATGGTGAATTTTCTTTATTGCACAAAGGGGCATTAATTGTTGATTGGCTGAACTAATGGGGAAAAAATTTAAATGTAGAAAACAGTATCTCACGTTGGTAATAACAACAGCTACCATTTGGGAGCATTAACCATGTTTCGGGCCCTGCTCTAAATATATTATTTTTATCTTATCCTCCAAAAATTCCTATGAGGGAGTTAATGTTATTATTCCCTTTTAACAGATCAGGAATTGTGGATCTTAGAGGTTGAGAAGCTGAGACTCAAATCCAGGTCTTTTTTATTCTAAAGCCTGAATATTTAAGTACTACATTAAGTACAAACTGCTCTTGAGGTAATGAAAGACTGCTTTTGAGGTAATGAAAGTCTAGTTAGCCATATATGAGATCAAGTACTGAGCCTTTGAGTCTATTCCTTACAGAACCTAGCCATTGTAATATTTGTGGATTATTTAGGTAGGATAGACTAGAGATAATTGTATGAAAGATGTGTGAATTACTATTTCTTCCTCTGTTAATTCTTTCTAAGGAAGAGAAGAAAAGCAACATGGTATGGGGGAAGGCATTGGCTTTAGAATCACAAACCTAAGTCTGTACTAGCTTAATGGCCACTGGCAATTATTAAATCTTTAACAATGAGAATAATTATAGGAGCAACTGCCATTTATGCAGGGCAAGCATTTTAATGAGTTTCTCATTTAACATCCCTAACAGTACAATGAGAAATACTGTAATGTGTATGAATAAACTGAGGTTTAAAGAGGTTACTATGGGGAGCTCATACGTCTAGGCGCCCACGGACCCCAGGCACTGCAGCACGCACATCTGTTAGCTGTAATTGCGTGCCTGCAGGTCGCCTTGACACTGAGGGCAGACCCATGTGGAAACTTCCTCCTCCCTCTCCCCCCAACCCCGCCCCTGCGGCCCAGCCAAGAACCATACAGACTTTTTGACGGGTGTGTAGTACAGTGTAGGAAGGGAAAGGATCAATTAGCCCTGGCCAGTGGTTCTCAGTGGTTAGAGAGTAGGCCAGTGCCCAAAAGGGTCAGGGGTTAGATTCCTGGTCAAGAGCACATGCATGCCTGGGTTGTGGTTGGCTCCCTGCCCACGGTGGGGCGCGTGGGGGAAGCAGCCATTACACTCTCTCTGAAAATGGAGAAAATTGGGAGAGGATTAAAAAAAAGAAAGAAAGAAAGAAAATGATCAATCAGTTGGAATCATGCTGTGTTAATTGCCAACTTTTCTGTAACCAACCTTAGTCAAACAGATGAAATCCTTATATTAACAATAAAGATAATTGTAAGTATGGTACCTTTGTTAATGAGGAAAAAATGTAGAATGGCCTTTCCCAAACTTTGAAGACAGGATAGAGTTACTTTGGAGTGTTTGAAAGTAAATTGAGAGTGGAGTCTGAGTCTTTGATTGCATACTCTTCTTGTTTAGATGACTCTGGGAAAACTGCTTTAAATCAAGCCACACTGCAACCCGGAGGACTTACAGTAGGAATGCACGCACCTTGTTATGATATCAGTTAAAGTGATCATTAAAACAAATATGTGCACTCATTTGTGGATGTCCAATTGTAAGGCCAGAATAATTTACTGAATTTTTGAAAGTACTTCTGTCTAAGAAGCAGCATCCATAAATTGAAAGTTTTTACCCACCTATTGATGATGAACCAGCTATTAGAAGTAAAAATATTGATCTGCCAGGACGACAGGAAAGAAAACATCTTCAAAGGGAAAACATTTGTATTTCTGAGTGCCAAGCAGCGTAAGTTCAGCAGTTGTTTTGGGAGGAGGAGATGCTCGGTTGATAACAGAAGAAAATGAAGATGATGATAGTTTATTTTCAGCTCCTGAACATTTTGTTGTTGATGTAGAATAACAAATTCCTAGACCTTAATTTCTGACTCTCAGAAAAAAATGGATCCATTGAATCCATGCAAAGGCAAGGTCTTAGACCTATTCCTGAAGCAGAAATTGGATTGGCAATTATTTTCATGACTACAGAGAATTACCGTGATCCTCAGGGCCAGCCCCGTGTAGGATTCAGGATGACGACTCCAGCCCCGAGCCTTTTCCAAGGCTTGTCAGTCAAAGAGAAGCTCATGCCAAGTTCCCCAGTGAACATAACATATGTAGCCGACACAGAGAGCAGACAGACGTGTGGATTTGAGTGAAAGGTCGAAAGAAATAAAAATCTTCAGAATGGAACAGAAATCCAGACTATCTTCACAGGAAACATCTACTCTAATGGAACCTCCAAAATAAGCTCTGATAGTAATACAGCTTTCACCAACCACACTCCTAGGTGTAAATAGAGGGAGAGATTGGGCTTCCCAGCAGCCACTGATCAACTCCATCAGAAACTACTTCCACTATCCATCAAGAAAAGGGAAAAGGATGAAGGAAATCGAGACATTTTTTCACCTAAATCAGCAAGAATGAAAATGTTTCATTCTCATCTAGAATAAACGCAACTTGCTACACCCTCAATATGAAGAAGAAGAAGGAGAAGGAGAAGAAGAAGAAAGGAGCAGCAGCTATCTCAGAATCAGACTGGGGCGGGGGGGGGGGGGTAGATAACATCTATAGATATAGATTAAAAATCCACTGTGAACAATTCTGCCAAATAGTCTCTTTCTACAGAAAAACAAAGATCAGGAAAAAAAGGAAAATTGAAAATTTAGCCATAAAAAATGAAGTATTGGAACAATTGTTCAAGAACACAAAACCAGAGCTAGAAACTGAAGTGAAAGTTCAAAAACAAGAGAAAGATGTCAATATTACAAAAGGGCCAAGATTAGATACAGAAACAAAGGGCTCTTTTAATGATGAAACAATACCAGAAAGTGACAAAATATCTCAAGAAAATGAAATTAGGCAGAAATGTGATCTCAAGAAAGGATTACTAGGTCAACTAAAGAATCATCTAACAATGACAGGCTTCAGGACGATGGTGTGATGCTTCCAAAGAAGGTGCTGCTGAGTACATTTAGATCACTGGTGATTAGTAACTCTGCCTCCAGAAATGCACCCAGTGAAAAAGATGATTATGGTTGACTAAAAAATTTCAAGAAATTCTGAAAGATCACATTTCCTGGAGTAGGAAAACTTCCACAGACCATTGGAGGATCAGATTTAATATCTCATCATAATCGAAAGAATATGGAATTAAAAGGGGCCTTGAGGCAGGAAATAGAGGTGCAAAATCAACATGCAAAAGAAGAGCTTCTTGCCAGTGATCTCTTTAGGTACAATTCTAATATAAAAAGGAGAAGATAACTAAGGATTTAATAAAGAAGCCACGGAAAAACATTTCCTGTCAGGTATTACTTCCTATTTCCTCTGGGGTACATGCATATAATATATACAAGGGATTTAAGTTACAAATATTATGGCCTGAATTGGTTAAATAAAACGCACAAAACTCTAAAAAAAAAAAAAAGGTTAATATAATAAATAGCCCAAAGTTACACAGTGAACTAAGAAAGGAGTCAAAATTCACGCCCAGGTAGGCCTGCCTCAAAACTCATTTGTTTCTACTATTTTATATAATCTCTCACAGTGTCACACATTTTCATGATCTATAAGATGAGAGTATTAATACCTATCAGAACATTGTTCTGAGGATTAAGTTGTTTCTGCAGCAACATGGTAGATTACATGCACATACCAACCTTCCCACTGAAAACTATTAAAAACAGAAAATACATAGGTCAAGGACTGAGTGTTAAGATTGGAAATTTAGATAACCAAAGTTGGTGTTCATTTTGAGGGTCTTTACCAAATTGATAACATTGAATATTGATTTCTGTGGTTTCATGGGCCTTGAGAGGGTTGAAAAACAAAGATTACTCAAGTGTGTGTGGGGAGACTCATAAAGCTGGAGCTCTAGGACTATATTCTAAAACTGAGTCAAACTCTTGATCCAGCAAATGGTTCATATACTAGGTATGCATAGTACACTTCAAATATGATAGAGGTATGCTCAAAGCAACAGGATAGGAAAAGCTACACCATAGCAACATTAATCAAAAGAAAGCTGGAATGAACTTCTGGTCAAGATGATGGAGTAGGTTAACACTGTGCTCGCCTTCTCCCACAATCACATCAAAATTACAACTAAATTATAGGACCACCACCCTTGAGAACTAGCTGAACATAACTTCTTTAACAAGGACATAAAGAAGAAACCATGTCAAGACTGGTAGGAGGGGCAGAGACACAGAATGGGCAGATCGTACACCCGTGGTGTGGTGGTTTAGAATCGGGAGGGATAGTTTGTCCCTGCGTCTGTCATGTAGGCAGTGCCAATGCGCACAGCACCTTCCTCACCGCATTGCCATGGCTGCCCTTGGTGTCGTTGCCCCTGTGGGCAAGGGCCTGCACTATACTGAATACTCGCTGCCCTCAACCAAATGGCCAGACATGGAAATTGACCAGGGACTGGCAAGAAGCTTGATAGCTTTAGGACAAGGTGTTTCAGCTTTTGCATTTGCAGGTTGCTATGTATTTCAGATCTGGAAACTTCTAAAGCAATCACAGAAACCGCAAAGAAGATTTCAGTCCCTAACCTTTCATCCTGCTGT